TAAGCCTCACTGTCATAATGTATTTAATCAAGCTAATCACGATGGTGGTTACGGTAAAATATATAATCCTGTTGATTTTCACTATGACTATGACATCTGTATGTGCGTTAGATAAATTCCCTATTATGTTAAAAATTATATAACCTTTAAATTATATTTCATTTTGTTTAATATTAATATAATAATAACTAGAATTCACAATATTTTTGACACTTAACTTGCATAAAACAACCTGTTCAAATATTAACAACAATTACATATAAAAATAATTTAAACCAATTTGTTTTATAAATGCATTAATATTAGATATATGCAGTTTGCAAACAATGCATTTTTGTTACACTATATACAATTTATAAAATATTATACCGTATAAAAATTAACCCCCACTCGTATATTGGAACTAGTTACTAATAATTATTAATATTTAAAATTAAATAGATGTATGTGACTATTACGTATTCACCATGGCTAATTTATCAAATTAATACATATAATGTGCCGTTCATATACACCGATATACCCTTAGATATTACTATACTACAGATATATTAATAATTATACCTGTATAGGTATATATCTACATTTATTTAGTAAAAGTGTTATTATGTAATGACAAGATCAGTGTTGAGCACTCATATAAATTTATAATGAAAAATTATGGAATTTCCCATGGTAAGTTTACACAAATGCCCAGAACAGACATAGATATCGTAGTATTAACTTAATACAAATGTTGTGTTTGCACAATCATATAATCACAATGATTTTCTAGGCATCCAAGTGCTCCCTGACATGCATGAGCCAAATGGGAACAACACTTGACATTCTTGGCGCACAGATATGTATAAGTTTGTACTGATGTTATTGAGCTTAATTAATAGGTATTATATTTTTATCAAGATATAAATCGGTGTGATATAACTAGTATATAAGCCATTTGTTAATCGACAAGTACTCAATAAATTGCTTGCTATAAATTAATTGTAAAAGTTAGTTTTATAGTGAAAGTAATAGTTATTTTATATAATAATTTTTATATAATTAACTTTAATTTTCACATTTATTAAACTAATAAGCATACAATGAAATACCTGGTCATATTACTGCTGGCCTGTGCCGGCTGTTTGGCCGACAATCTCAACAACCGTTTAGATTGTTATTTAGAGCGTAAGTAAACTAAATTAAATTTATTATTAAAACTTCATTTTTGTTATAAACTGTAAAATATTGAAGGAATTCTGAATTGAAACCGTAAACAATATATACTGTATTTTGATTTATTTAAATGATTTTTCCAGAATTATTAAAGTCTTAATTAATATTATATTATAATTTAGTTGATATGCAAGTAAGTGAACAGCAATGTAAGGACAGGGGCTGTATATGGGATTCGACAGGACGGCCCCCGGGAGTGCCCATATGTTATTTGGACCCAAAACAAGTCGGCTATAAAGTGCCCGCAGGTGTCAAGAAGACCGACACCGGACTGGAGGCCGATCTCCACCTCAAAGATACGGCCAAACGTACCCTCAAATCCATGCCATC